GATTAAGAACCATTGGTTTTATTTACTTTTATATTAGAGACATAGATATTTAATAAACACCAGAATGCAATTTTGATTATTCTGTATCTTGAGTACTACCTGTATTCACTCCCTTCAGGTGTGTGGCCAGAGATACCTTGGAGCTGGATTTGCAGGAAGTTGTAAGCCACCTGACGTGGGTGCTAGGCATCAAACTTTGGGTCCTTTGAAGAATAATACACACTTTTGACTGATAAACAAGACCAGTTATTCATGGTTCTTAACTGTTTCTTTTCTGTTGAATCTCGTTAACTATTTTTATCTTTTATTCAGCATCTATACTAGGCAAGTAAATTCCTACATACATACGTGTGTGTGTGTGTGTGTGTGTGTGTGTGTGTGTGTGTGGTGTTTGTGTTTTGATTTCCCAACCATTTCAGGACATATCAACACCTTCTTAAAGCTTTGAATGATTTTCTCATGCCGGGTAGTAAATTCTTGAGTCTGTATCGTCTCATGAACTGAGCCATTCCTATTTTCTCATTACTTTTAGCTTTTCATAAATCATTTCTATCTTCTAACTCCTCGTAATTCATAATTTATGAATTTATCTTATACTTGTAGATCTACTACATTAAGAACACTGTTATCTTTCTAAGAATTTATATTTTTTCCAAGGACATTGAACCAGCAATATTGCTAGGGAATCAATACATGAAGGGGTATTTACACAAAGGGGGCATTAGTTCTTGCTTTCTTCAGGTTTCCTTTTGTCTTTCCCTCAAAACGACAAGCTCTTGGAATTATGATTTCCAAACTTTAAGTAACCTTGCTGTAGTTAAGGTTTTATCTGTCGTTTGATTGATAATTGGTTATGGTCAATGGTTAATGATGGTGAGTAGGTGTTTTCGTAGCCTGCTCATAAACGATATAAACAATGGCATTGTTAAATATTTTCAAGTATTTCCTACATTGTTTTTGAACTCTTTGGTTTTTTTGAGACAGGGTTTCTCTGTAGCTTTGCAGCCTGTCCTGGAACTAGCTCTTGTAGACCAGGCTGGCCTCGAACTCAAAGAGATGCACCTGCCTCTGCCTCCTGAGTGCTGGGATTAAAGGCATGCGCCGCCACCGCCACCCGGCTGTTTTTGAACTCTTAAGACAAAATAGAACTTAACCAAATTTAACCAAAAATGGAAGCTCATATTTTACTAAAGCATATTTTTAAGAGTAGAACATAATGTGCCCCAGGTATTTATAGGTGACTATAACTTGAGCGTTTCTTTAACAAATAGAAGTAATACAGCATTTTCACAGAGCCTTTTCTCAAATATGCTCTGTAAGCATGTACTGACTTAGAATGTGTCATGAACTGTCGTGTCTGATATTCTTTCCCCAAGGTATTCTAGCACCGTTGATCATATTTTCTTCTTAAGGGTGGAAGAATTAACTACATTACTCTCTCTCTAGGGCATTGCTATTCAGCCTTCATTTCACTGTCATGCCCTTTACGGAGTCTTTGTAGACTTTTTCTAACTGCCCCTCACATATATTTTTAATGTCACAAGTAAACTGTACATCTTTTTATATTAGACATATATCTCTTGTATGTGCATAAAAATGAAATATTCCTATTCCCTCATAAGCAGTTTCTACCCTGTTTTAGGATGGTATCACTTTTTAGGAATATATATTCTCCAGGAAGGAAAATCTTGATCGAGTCCTGTTTCACAGTGACCACCTGTCAAAATTCTCAAGTGACAGAATACATCTAGGTGATTCATGCTTTCAGAACTCCCCACCATGAGAAAAAATTATTTGATGGATCTAATGCAAAATCTAAAGAAAAGTTCTCACTGTCCGAATTCTAAGGTGATTCCAGTGGTTTGTGTGTGTTCTCAATTGGTGTTCACAAATCCTGGTGCCACTTCACTTCCTCCATAGTCTTTGGGAATACCAACTGAGGCATTTTTTCAATGGTTATATTTCACAAACAGGGAAAAGTGCTTTTTTGTAGTTGAATTTTATTATATTGTGTGAGAGATGAAGGTGGAAACATTGGACAGAGTGAATGTGCACACATGTGAAGGCCAAAAGATAACTTTCAGGAGTAAGCTGCCTCCTTCCACTGTGGGTCCCAGCGTTCAAACCAGATCCTCAGGCTTATGAAACAAATGCCTTTACAACTGAGCTATTTTGCTCGGCCAGACCTGTCGTTTTAATTCATGTAATAATACATCTGAAATGTGATCTTCAGTAGTAGCAATTTTAAAGTAGGGATATCTGAAATAAAGGGGGTTGTTGTTGTTTGGCTTCGGGTTCTTTTTGGTTTGAGTTTTTTTTTTGTTTGTTTGTTTGTTTGTTTCTAAATGTTTCTTGTGCTCCAAAAAAAATACCCTATGTTTGTATGTTTGTTTTTCTTCATCTAAGGCATAAGTTAGAAGTAAGAAAACCTATTTATTAACTACAAGACGAAAGTGGTGAGTTGATTCCCAGATCAGAGCAGGGCCTAAAATGAGATGACCTTTTCTTTCCTTGCTCTTTCCTCGTTGGAAGTCATATAATGGCTTTATAGGCCATTTCATCAGGATTGGGTTTTTTATTGTTTTTGGGTTTTTTTGATTGTTTTGCCTAGTGTATGTAGGGGGTCAGAATAGGGTGTCTGTTGGGGCCCCTGGAACTGGAGTTACAGATGGTTAAAAACCACAATGTGAGTGCTAAGAACTGAAGCCAGGGCTGGAGAATTGGCTCAGCAATTAAGAACATTAGCTATTCTTCCTGGAGTCCTGGGTTCAATTCCCAGCACCCACATGGCAGCTCACAGCTGTCTGTAACTCCATTTCTTGAGGATTCAACACTCTCACACAGACATACATACAGGCAAAACACCAATGTACATGAGATAAAAATAAATATTAGAGAAGGAAAAAAAAAAAGAACCAAACCCAGTCTTTTCGAAGGGCAGCAGATGCTCTGAACCAGCCCTTGTTTGTTTTGTTTTTAATTAAAACTGTGTTAAAAAATACATTTCCAACTGGACAGTGGTGATGTACTCCTTTAATCCCAAAACTCAGGGAAGGCAGAGATAGGTGGATATCTTTGAGTTTGAGGTCAGCCTGGTCTACAAGAGCTAGTTCCAGGACAGCACAGATACACAGAGAAACTCTGTCTCGAGGAAAAAAAAATATGTACATTTCCAAGTGCAGAAACTCTTAAAAAATTTAAAATAAGAAGAAACTTTAGATGTCATTTATTAAGGCAAACAAAAATGTTTTTTGCTTGCTGTATTTTACCAACACAGAGATAAATACACTTAGGATAAGCAATGTAAGGGATTACTTAGAGTTATTACAAAAGACAAAAGTATAAGCAAAGGGAATACGGTATTTATAGAAAAATTAGTTTTCTGAAGAATTGAAAATTAAACACCAAAGAATGAGTTGAAACTACCTAGGCTAAGGCAAGATGAGCTGCCCAAACAAACAATACAGTATACATTTGGCTTTAAAATAAGAGCATTGTTATTTGTGGAACTTTTGTAAGATTAATTTGTTTGAAGAGATGGAATGGTAAGACAATTAAAATGAAATTAGGATGCAACAAGTAAAGTTTCATACAGTATGTGCTGAATTTACAATTAGGTTTTTTCATGGCAGTAAATAACACAAAATAAAATATTGAAGAGAATATAATATTTTTAATAAGCAATGCTACCATTAATTCCAAAACATTTGCATATCTCCGACAGGAAATATATACGATAATAAGCATTCCCAACTTTCCCAGCCTCCAGCAGTTACCTTTATATGTATGGATTTGCTTTTTCTGGACATCGCCTATAATTGAAATATTTGTGGGTTTTTTTTGTTTTTTTTTTGTTTGTTTGTTTGTTTTGTTTTGTTTTTTTGCCTGAATTCCTTTAGCGTGGTTTCAAGAGTGATTCAGATCATAAAGGGTTTAAGGCTTCTGTCCCAGTTGTATGAACTGAATAATGGTTTTCCTTTTACATTTTCCTAATGACTAGTAAAGTTGAATGCCTTTCCAGGAGTTTGTAGTATTACCCTCTTTGCAGAGCTTTTGCTTATTTCTTAATTAGATTACCTTTTTATTATTGACCGTTTCAAGTTCATTATATAGTTTGCTTTCTAGCATTTACAAGATATATGATATGCAAATTTTTTCTTCCATTTTAAAAGTTATTTTACTGGATTGATGGCATCCTTAGTAGCATAGAAATTTGAAATGTTGAAAATCAGCTTATCTTTTTCTTTGATTTCTTGTTTCAGATATTATACCTAGGATATCATTGTTCTATTCAAGACCAAAAGTTTATCTTTTTGTTATTTGTTTTTGTTTTTCTAAACATTTTATAACCTTTGCCGTTACAGTTTTCTTTTTTGTTTGGATTTGGGGGGCCAGCTTCTTTTTTTTTTTTTTTTTTTTTTTTTATAGAGCCAAGTGGTTAACAACCTCTTAGCCTTTACTTGTTAAAGTTGAAGTTCTTGTTGATATTAATATAATTTAATGGTTATAAATTGAAAATTAGAATTTTCTTCTGACCTTTAACACAATGTACTAAGATCTCTCTTCACTTTGTTCAATCTTGAAGTAGATAGTCAAACACACAAGTAATTGATACCGAGAGAATATGGCGTTTCAATAATCCAATAAATGGATAGATATCATCCCCTTTCCTAGTTACTGTTGAAGCCATGGAGTAGTGGAGTGCATTTGCTTACTATTTCCTTGTTTTTGTTGTTGTTGTTTTTCTAAATGTATTATGCAACGATTGTCATTTGTCAAATATCTTTTTACAAGCGCAGCTAGAATTGGATCCTATGGAGGAGCCAATGACTGTAGTCGTCCTGCTTCATACTGCAACCCAACCTTGTGAAAGGTTGTAAAACACCAGTGTTTGCCTGAGGCTATGCTAATAGTTTTCCTACATGCTCTAGCATTTTGAAAGTCACTTATCAAAAGTACAGAATTACTGAAGTATTTGAACTTCTCTTCGTCATTTAGGTTACTTACAACAAGAAAACCTCACATCTACGTGCCAGACGTTTATTTTGGAAAGCTCAAATTTAAAAGAATATGCAGAACACTGTACTGATGAAGGTTTTATTCCAGCCTGCTTACTGGTGAGTTACTCATTCCTTATAGGACATTTCATTGCTAACCAACGCAGAAGACTGGAAAGCAAAGCCTTAAAATGAACTTATTAATGATGTGAGGCACTGTGTCTGTTGTCCCATCTGCTTGGGAACTTAATAATCACAGGATCACTTGAACCCAGGGGTTAGGGACAACCTAGACAACATAGCAAGACCCTTGTCATTCATCAGCCAAGTGAGCTATGGCACATAGATAGCTACATGACTTATCACTGCCTAATCCACATAGGTGGAAGACAGAGTGGTGGATATCTATAATGCAGACTTTGGAAGACTGATGCAGGACTATTGTCATTACTTTTAGACCAACCTGAGCTGTATAACAAGACCTTGTCCAGAAATTAAAAAAAAATATCGTCACTTCCTTTTGTAGCTATCCATATATAAAAGGAATATTCTAGAGTTACGTGATTTCACGTGGTACTTGAAGTTGTATGTTAAGGATGACTTTTTAGTGAATTATTTGGATTGTTCTAATTTTTACATAAAAAGATGATTAGAATACCCCAAACAGTTCTGAACACTTTGAAAGAGTTGCAGCACTAGGAGAGACGGCTCAAGCACCTGTGGCTCCTCCAAAGCACTCACATTTCATACCCAGCGCCCATGTCTGATGGCTCTTTAATTTTTTTTGATTATGTGTATTTGTCTGTTTTTGTGAGAATATGTACACATGTATGCAGGGGCTCTCAGAGGCCAGAAGAAAAATCGGATCCCTGGAGCTGGAGTCACAGGTAGTTGTAAGTTGTCCTGTGTGGGTGCTGAGAACTGAACTTGGTCCTCTGAAAGGGTAGTAGTACACTCTGACCCTCTGGACCATCTCTCCAGATAAGTGAACTGAGGTCTTGAAAAGAAAATGGCATGCCCAAAGTTCAATTCATTTTTACAAAGAATGAAGAAAATGGGGAGTGATTTCTTAGGCAAATCTGCCTTCTCAAGCTTCATTTTTACTTCTTACTTTGAGTTTGGTTTTCCCTAACTTACCTGAATTGGTCTTGAACTTTCTCTGTAGCTCAGACAGAACTTGAATTTACAGTCCTTCTACTTTACCCTCCCAAGCAAGTACTTAGAAATATAGGACTGTACCATATTCCTTTAATCCCAGCACTCAGGAAACCAAGACCAGCCTGGGTTTTGTGGTAAGACCCTGTTATTCCCTGTGCCCCCCTCAAAAAAAGAAATCTAGTATTGAAAGTTGAGAGGGAAAAGAGACCTAATTGTCTTCCTCAGTACATTACGTATGTCCTCAACATTATCTAGAACAATTGTACAGTATGCTTGCAGTAGATTTTAAAGGATTTGACACATGCTATTAAGTTTTTTGAAATCAGAACTCTTGATTCCAAAATCCTTGCTATTTTAATAACCTCATGAGTATGATCGTACTGTTGTAACAGACTACTCTTGCATTGTAGTTAGCATAGGGAAAGCATGTAGGTAGGTTAACAGAAATGTAGAGCTCCTTAGGAAGAATATTTCATATACACTTATTTTTATAAGTTCCGTTTTACATGGTTTACGTGGCTTTCAGGTTAGACCTTGGCTTTCAGGTTAGACCTGGTACCCTTTCTTTAAAACAGTAAAACAGAATATCTCCCTCCTGACTGGAAACTGCTTTTTATGACCGTGCTTTTGTTTTATATAAGGACTCCTGTAGGCACAGTTCAGACGGATAGCATGCTTTCTGTCCGATGTGTCACAAATGCCTTAGTGAATGTTGGTGGCCTGCTTCTTTACCCTTTCCTTACTGGATTTCTGCAGCCTAGATCTTTCGTTGGCTTTTATGATGGGAAAGTGATAGTTGTATGGTTTGGTAATATTTGATCTTTCGTTTTTCAGTCCTTATTTGGAAAAAACTTGACAACAATTTTGAATGAATATGTAGCCATGAAGGCAAAAGGTAAGAAGTTGGATGTCATTGTTTTTAAGATATAGTCTCATAAAAGGCTTTGAAAAAATTAATATTATTCTGATAAGATATATTTTACTGGGAAACAATTTATTTTTGCTTATATTGAGTAAAACAAATTCTAAAACTCCAAATATTAACTAACAGGCATAAGCCAAAACTCATTTTAAAATGAAATAAACCTGAATGAACTCTAGGTTATTTATCATAATGATGAACAACCATTGATATTTGCTAAAATATTTTGAACTGACAATTTAATTTTAATCTTCTGTGTAATATGAAACTAGGCACAGAACTTAGTCGGAAAATTGGCTCAGAGTTAACAGAACATAAAATAATTGTTTAAATTTCTCATGATCCAGAGGGAATTAGTGGTTATTTTCTTGACATTGTTCTCATAGTTCATATCATCAAAACTATTATTGTTAGATTAATTATCATGAAGTAATAACCAAAGGAAAAGTAACTTGCTTTACTAATGCCTGGGTATGTAAGCTTCATGTTAGGTGCTTCATATTGTATCTCATTTAATTTTTAACCCAGCAAGAAGTAATTCTTACAACTGTTTTTAATAAAGATATCAATTAAGTTTGTACATATAGGAGTTTCTATAATGTTTCTGACAATTACAGTTTGCCTTTTCTGATACAAAGAAGTTAGAAAATTATTAGCCTTCTAAGTTTTTTAGACACACTTTTTTACTAGTATTGGATTTGATTCTCTGTTTTAAGAAAATAAAGCCACCTCGTTGGCCCTTTTCACACTGTTACAAATAGGCTTACTTTTCAATCGCCAGTGGAACTTTTACAGTTTAGAAAAGTTTTTGTTTATTCTCCTGCTATAATCTTATGTTTTTGTTCAAACTGAAAACTGAATTTTCTTCAACTGAGCTTATTTCCTCTTACAATTTAGAGACATCAAATGAGGTCCCAACAATAATGTCATCTCTGTGGAAGAAGCTAGACCACACCCTTTCTCAGATCAGGTACTATGCTCATTACGAGGTGCTGAGGAATGTACATGCACTTCGGCTGCAGAACTACTTGAGATCTTTATAATATGCACATCTAGCATCTTGAGAATTTCGAAGGTTTCATAGAAGGTGGTAGAAGTTCTTTGTCTTTAATAGAAATAATTTGAAACAAATTGCATGCTTTTATTTTTGTTTTTCGAGACAGGGTTTCTCTGTGTGGCCTTGGAGCCTGTCCTGGAACTTGCTCTATAGACCAGGCTGGCCTTGAACTCACAGAGATCTGCCTGCCTCTGCCTCCCAAGTGCTGGGATTACTGCCCTGCTTTTTTGTTGTTGTTGTATACTTTAACAGATTGTTTACAGATGAGGAAATTGCAATATATAGAAATTTAGTGACAGTTTCAATTTTGCATAGCAACTTAGAAACAGTTCAGACCAATATATAAAATTCTTTAGACAACCATTTTTTAATGACGTAATGTGAGAACTGTTGACTTCATGCTCAGTGTAATTTTCTACTTTCAGTATTTTTAGTATTTTCTACTTTTAGTATTCTCTCATAGTAGAATACTTGTTACCATCTACCTAGTTCCTAGCCTTAGAATGTCAGTTTCAGCATCCTTAGAAGTATACCAGCTCTGCTGCAATATGTGTTGGCATCTCTTATGTAGTGGTAGAGTCTCGTGAAAACCCCTTCCTTTAAAAGCTACAAGTGAATATTCCATCTAAATAGCAGAGGCCTCATTTTTATCTTCTAGTTAGGCTAATGCCTGGAGAGATGACTCAGCAATTATTACGAGCACTGATTGCTCTTCCAGAGGTCTTGAGTTCAGTTCCACATGGTGGTGGTTCACAACCATAACGTAATGGGATATGATGCCCTCTTCTGGCATGCAAGTGTATATGCAGATACAGCACTCATACATAAACTGAATACAGCTAAGAAATATAAAAATAATTACTGTCTACTATGAACTTTTATGTTTACTTTTCTACGTATATGGAGGATCAATATAATTTCATAGTCATAAATGTGACAGCAAGAGGTCTTGAACTGAGATTATAAAGTATTGATGTATATGAATCAGGATTTCTTTATAGGAAAGTCTCATGGCACAAAATTGAATTGAGAATGACTATTTATATGTGGCTTACTTAAATATATCAAGTTCCTAAAGTCAGATCAAACTATACCTTGATATCATAGCATTCCAGTGCATAATTATCAATTTGAATAGAGGTTTAATCACCAAAATTATGTTGTATGGGTGTTTATATGATTCTGGTTTTCTTCTAAAACAAATCACATGTAGACTCTTTATCTTAGGGCAATCACCCTTTAACTTGTAATTTACATTATGTCTGGCCATAACTAAGCCAGGATATATATCATCTAAAACACAATACTTAAAGAATAACTACTTTGTTTTATTTGTTAGGAACATGCAAAGTTCTCCAGGGTTTGCCGCCCATCAGAGAGGTTGGTATTTAACTTTAAGCAATCACACTCATTCTAATGATTGTTTTAACTAACAGCACATTTGTGCTAGATCTATATTTTTTTAATTGCGTTTTTTTTTTTTAAGTACAATCATTAGACATTTTCATGTATCATAGTTGAGGGGACTTGAGGTATAGGTAACTGATTGTGCATACACAAGGTCCTGAGGTTGATCCCTAGCAATTTAAAACAGAATTAAAGCCATATATGTATGCACATAGGTAAATATACATTTTTGTGTGTGTATATTCATATAAAATATATTCTAGTTTTACTAGTTGACTGTTAAGTACTAGCATTCTTAATCCATAATTTTTAATACCTTAAATTTGGGGAAACATCAATATGAATTATTGAAGAACAGGTGTATTGGGATTTGTGAAGTACAGTGTATTTATTTAGTTTGTTTTACATGAAGTTGTTGCATAAAGCTATATTATGTTTTCAAGGCTGTCTTTTAGTTTATCTAGTGTATAGGCCATACAACATATAGAATCTTGGTCTGAAATGCCTCTTGATAATGAGTTAATTTTGTAATGCCCATGTGTTTCAGCCCGAACAAGAAACGGAATTGCAGAAATCAAGCGACAGAGGTGGCTTGCATCTCAGGCAGCTCCCGTCAATTCAGAGTTACTGGTTTTACCTTATGGTTCAGGACAATTTACCACTTCTTCTTTGGTAGCCACACAAGCTGTTAAACCAACTGGTCAAATTTCAACTCCAGTGAGATCAAATATTGTAGTAGTCAACCAGTCACAGTCACAAAATACTGTCACTAGTAAGTTTAAGTTTTATTCTTTAAGTTCTGTACAATGCCTTCCATTTATAATACATAATCATGACCCGAGAGAGATGAGAGAACTTATAAAAGGAGCAGACTTCAAGTAGTTCAGCAGCAAGAATGTAACTATGAAACGGCATAAAAATTGGCTCACTTGTAATCTCAGCACTAAGGGTGATCAGAAATTCAAGATTATCCTCTGCTATGTGCCTTCAAATAAAAAAATCTTGACTTAAAATATGGGAGTCATCTTGGCTACAGTTCTTCCCTATTCTAATCAAACTGAAGTCCATCCTTGAATTCATCTAATTCTTAATTTGGGGGTAATAATAAGAAAGACCTGATTGTGTTTTTAAACAGAATATACATTATATTTTACCAGTCTGCCCTTCTGGAACATCTTCCCAATATATGGCCGTCTTTATATATTTTTATATATATATTTATACTGTTTTGTATATTTCCAACTGAGTATTGAAGCTAGATATAAAGTTAGAAATGAAGTTCTAATATAATTCTTGTTATATACATACTTATACAGAATAGTAAGAAGTGGGAAGCTAGTTAATATGAGCTTTGAGATTTGAATTCAGAACTCATGTCTCTGTTCGAAGGAGGAGTTTTATTACTGCCCTTTAAGATTACACTGGAGAGTCAGAGGCAGGCAGATCTCTAAATTCAAGACAGTCAGGCAACACAGGGAAACCCTGTCTCAAAAAAAAAAAAAAAAGACTGTTCATTTCTCTTCAAATCCTGTTCTACACTAGGAGCATTCAGCTGATACTTCTTTTATACTTATTTTCTTCTTTATATTTCTTTTGTATTTTTAAGTGTAAAACCTTAAAGGTATAGGTACTGTACTGCATAGCTCTTATTATCTTGTACCATGCCTTGCTCATAGTGTTACTCAGTGAATGTTTACTGGACTTTAGTATAGAATAATAATTAGTCTCTAATGTTTCTGATGTCATTACAAGGTATGTGTGTTTCTTTGACTTATTGTGTTTTCTTAAAATACAGCTGCAGAGTCTTTAAATATCATACCTGGTCCTCAGGAAAGGAAAACTAATACCAGTTTAATGTCTCCTGGTAGGCGGAAAAGGTAATTACTTCTTATACTTGCTTGACATGTTGCCCCAAGCCATTTAAGATGGACAAAATAGAGTTTAGTGAATATTTACATTGTGAGTAAAGTAAAAAGACTAGATTAAGTTCTTGGGACTATTATTCATTCCATAAACGGCTTTTCCAGCATTCTGACTTAACTGAATTCGAGTTGTGTTTTAATCAACGGTGTGTCTTACTGTTGATCACTTTCTGTAGTGATGTGCAGAGTAATGTTTGTCTTTCAGATAGTCTTTCTCGTTCATAGTGTTCTCTTAAATGAATGTAAGTAGTGTTAGTTTTATGGTCCATAAGAACACATGAAGTTCAATCATGCCAGCATGTTTTAAGGTGTCTTTCCCAGAAAAAAATTTTCTTGTTCTACTTCAGCTTGTATTTCTTAAAAACAAAATATGAGAGATCAGAGTGGTGTTTTTGTTTGTGTGCTTGCTTTTTTTTTCCATGGAGTTTTGTTTGGTTGGCTTTGGTTTTTTGTTTTGTTTTCTTTTGTTTTTAGACAGGGTTTCTCTGTGTAGCCCTTGGCTGTTCTAGAACTCACTCTGTAGACCAGGCTGGCCTTGAACTCACAGAGACCCACCTAATTCTGAAACTCAAGTGGTGGGATTAAAGGTGTAAACTGCCGCTAGCCAGGGCAAGAGATCAGAGCTCTAATTTTTTTTTAATGACTTTATTTATTTTTAATTTATGTGCTCTAGTGTTTTGCCTGCATGTATGTCTATGAAGGTTTCAGATCCCCTGGAACTGGAATTACAGACAGTTGTGAGCAACCATGTGGATATTCTTTAATAGCTAGTGTGTTTCTAACCACTGATCCATTTCTCCAGCCCCTATAAGTGATTTTTATCTATTTGATCATCTGTCAACCAGTAGGTTTGGGGTTTTTGGTTTTTTGAGTTTTTTTTTGTTTGTTTGTTTTGGTTTTTGGTTTTAATTAAGACTTTTCACTGTGAGCACTCTCTAATTTAAGACTTGACTATTACAAGCTTCCTTTAATTAAAAGTCTCCTTTATTACAAGCCTTCTGATTTAACCGCATAAAACAGTAAAATATTTTCAGAAACTTTGACCATTTTATTATAAAAGTTCATGAATAATTAACTATTTTTCTATAAACCCTCTAATACAGCTGATCTCATTCTATCATAAGGTAGGTAATGGAGCTGGGTGTGTAGCTCAGTGGTAGAACACGTAATTAGCATGTGTGAGCCCTAGGTTAAATCTCCAGCAGTACCAAAGGAAGAAGAAGAGGATAAAAGTAACAAGAGTTCATAGACTTGACCACATAGCTAATTTTGTTTAAGTTTTGTTTTTGTTTCTTTTTTTTTTTTTTTTCATCTTTGTAGTTGGTTGTTGTTTATTAGAACTCAAGTCCACTACATTTGATCTATGTCTGGTAATGCTTTCTCTGTTCTTCTAACTTTGTTTTTATGGGAAGAAAAAAATATTAACTCAAGATGTATATACGTGGTCTGTTAAATATAATAGTAAAAGATAAGCTCTTAAAATGTATTTCAGTGAATCACAAAGGAAGAGTTTCACATCGTCTGGATCTCATTCTTCAATAAGGAATTTACAAGATCCAAATGCATTTGCAGTAGAAAAAGTAAGTGACCTTCCCAAAGTTTGCAGCTTGAAATAGTCTCAAATTTAAAAACACTGATGTATATCTAAATAGTTATGTGTGCTTATGAACTTTGGTATGAATCTGAGAACAGAATTGCATATTGAATAGAGAATTGTAACTGTAAAGTTATACTTAGAGAACACACACATGCCAAATGCACCAAGTAAAAATTCTTTGTGATTGCCGGATTCTTTGATTTAATTGAGCGTTTTACGAGGATCAGATAATGAAAGGCATTGTGAGACAAAATAATGTGTAGAACTGCGTTTTAGATGTACTGAAGACCAAGTTGGTGAAAGATCTGTGACAACACTTCTGAATTGCAAAACATTGTTCAGGACTAAATGTGGAGGGAGGCATCAGAACTTGGGTTTCTACCTGCATTTATCATAACTGTCTACTGCTGTTTTTGTGACATTTTTGCTTTTTCATTATTTATTTAGAGATGGGGTCTTGTTATGCTGTTTAGATTGAACTCAAACTCCCGACTCTAATTTTAATCCTACCTCAGTCTCCCAAGTTGCTGGGATGAAAAAGCATTCTCTCTGGTTTGATTTGGTTTTCAATGATATAATATTTTTTCCTAGCCTTTTACTAGTCTTGATTTTCTTTTTCAGCAAATGGTTATTGAAAATGCAAGAGAGAAGATATTAAGCAACAAATCTCTTCAAGAAAAGCTAGCAGAAAACATAAATAAGTTTTTAACTAGGTGAGCTATATGATTCAAAGCTCTGGTTATTTTTGCCCAATCACCCAGCTGCACTAATCCTTTTCCTTTCTGTGTTGCAGTGATAATAGTATTGCTCAAGTACCTAAGCAAACAGACAACAACCCTACTGAGCCAGAAACTTCAATTGATGAACTCTTAGTGCTTCCGGTATGTGTAGGTGTGTGTGCGTGTGTGTATGTGTGTATGTGTATAGGGATATGAGTGGGTGAGAGAGTTTTGGAGGATTGTACAATTAGAACTAAATGTTATCTTGGTTTTATTATAAAATCATTGCTAAATATTGTATGTGTAAAATCTAATTTATAATAATTAAAATAAAATTTTTATTACATATGTAATCTGTTTCTGAATATATTTGAGCAGTGAACACATTTCAAAGACTCACTTATTTAAATAGTAAAAATGGTAAGATTTTTTTCTAATGCTTCTAATAGCTAATCTGCTTTATAGATACCAGTGCAGCTTTGTTATACCTGTAAAAAATTATTCATGGATTTTTTAGTATTTAGTACTTGCAAATTCACTACATTGGTATCTTTGTATTTGATGAACAACAGCACTCTGTCTTGTCTTATACATTGCTAGGAACTGAGAAGTCATTTAAAGATTACTGAAATAGTATATTAAATATGACTTGCATTCATCGTGTACTTTCTAACAAACTGATCCTAAATGTAGCATTTCTCAATCCTAATTCCAGTTTTCTTCCCTAATATTTTTGTCATGTTTGAGTCTTGTGTTGGTGATGTAGAATTCTCACTGTTGTTTAATGAACTTTCACTTCCAACACCTGAGGGATTTTCCCCTCTTGCTGAACTGTTTGTGGTATGTTGGTAATATTCATAATTTTGTAGCTGCTTCTTTCTGAGTTGAAGATCTCATTTATTTTCTCTATAAAGTCACTAATTAGCTTAATTTGTGTCATATAATCTAGTTTGTAGCATCTTTGTATATTCAGTAATTGAGAAATTGGTTATCTCTTCCTGGTAGCGTCTTTGTTGGTTTTATGTGTCTGTTCATACTTTTAAGGCTTCCATCTCTAGTACCTCTCAAAGGGGGCAACCAAACTATGACAGCAACAACACCAAATCAAACACAATACCAAAAAAAAAAATCCATCCTCAACTAAAGCCAGCTCATACATCATAAAGACCATAGAACAGAAATGGACAAAACTAATGTGGTGTGTTACAAAGTTAAAAATTAGTAAAGGTAAATGTGACAATAATAAGCTAGTGGAATGAAGACTAGAGCAAAGGAGGGAAGGAAAGGTTAAATAAAAGAATGGGAAAGAAAGTTATTAAAAAGGAGAAGAAAGAACTAGTGATTAAAAAAAAAAAAAATCAAGCCAGCCCTGGTGGCACATGCCTTTATTCCCAGCACCCAGGAAGCAGAGGTAGGAGGATCTCTGTGTTCAAGGTCAGGCTGGTTTAAACATTGAGTTCCAGGACAAGATAGTCGAAATACTACTGAAAGTATTATTTATTTAAAAAGGAAGCAGTAGGATGTGGAGCTGAATTATTGTAGCAACTTATTTAAGGGTAGTATACAACTTAATCTGTGGGATAGAAGTACAGAGTGGGAGTCTCTTCAGAGACTTATGTTTCCTATGATTTAGGCTAGTCCTAATCCATACTGGATAAATGTCTTAAACTAATAGAGCTGTCTTTACTTCAGTAGCTTCCCTTAGTCTGTAGGCTAAATTTTCCCACTTTATCAATTCATATACCCTACAGTGGAGTCTTTGGAGTCAGGGAAGCAAACCACACTAAGATCATACTTTGAAAACAATAGACATTAAATATCCTGCCAATGTGACCATGGACATGAAGTAATTTGCTGAAGCTTCAGGCTTCTTAGTTCTTACCCAGTGAAACGCATAGCAGAATGGTTGTTTCCAGACAACCCACTGTCTTCAGGCAACAGTCTCTGAGCTATCAGGTGATGATGGGCTTGCCTAGCCACAGAGAAGGGGACTATCGCCAGTTATATCTTTCGATGCTCAGACCGAACTCTTCCTTTCCCTCATTTCCATATCTATCTTCCTTATCACTACATCTCCTTCCCTCAGCTGTTTGACCCTGGGTATGTGGGAAGTTGATTCTAGGTTCCCTGACTTATTAGCATCCCTTGTTTTCAGATCTCAGGTTGTCTCAAGATTGTGTCCACTTACAGCCCTCCAAGACAGGGCAGGCAACAAAATGGGCGCCTTCTCCAGTGCTAGCCTGGCACAGTGAGGATTCACTATGTCAGCAACAGTCCCAATAGCATTTGAGGATGTTGAGAACTGGGGTTTTGTCTTGTGGCTATGTAAGACTGCCAATCTCTCTTTCACCCTACCACATGGCTTTCTCTTTGAGTGAGGCTGTGTTTTTCCCTTTCCCAGTCACCACTGGAGCATGTGCTTCATAATTCCTTTATACTGTATCACCATCTGTCCATTCACACCTTACAGCTATCCTGTTACCCTGTTGTCCTTCCACCCATTCTTTTCAAAATATAGTCTGATCCTTCTGGTCCTCACTCTTCTCATCGACTACAGTTTCTAATCCACGAGCCCAGAAGTCTTATTTTCTTTTAGATAGGCCTGTTGTTCAAATCAAAAGTATTTTCTTGTAGGGAAATTCTCATATATAAAGATAACAATAACGTGAATAATAATCTCTGGTATTAAAGCTATATTAATTCTACTTGTTCATGACTTTATTTTTACTTTACAGAGTGAAATCCACATGTCTGAAGAAGCAATACAAGATATATTGGAACAGACAGAATCAGACCCAGCATTTCAGGCTCTCTTTGATCTCTTTGACTATGGTAAATACACCATTTACTATAGCAAGTAGACAAAATTTTCTCCACTATCTTGAATAACCTAGCACAGGATAAAGTAACATCACCTAGGGCTTTTGAAAACTTCCTGTTTCTTTACAGCAAGTAATGTATGGAGATGCAAAGGTAAACCTTTATGTTTACTTAGCAAAGTTCAATTATAAAAACAGAGAATTGGGTTTTTGGTTTTATTTGGTTTTGTATTTTTACCAGTCAACATGAGGTATGCTGGCTCTATTCTAATACAGGTAAATATAATTGAGAGACCCTAAAAGAATGTGAAGTATTCAGCATTAAAGTCAGAACAGCCATCATATCAGCATTCTCTATGAACTTGTTACGTGTGCAGATTCTTGAACCTTCCAGAAGCTCTTAATAAACGTTTATCATTCAGAACCAGCGTTTGGGGTGGAGAGATGGCTCGTGATCTGCTTTTCTAGAGGTCCTAAAATAAACTCCCAGCAACCACATGGTGGTTCACAGCCATCTTTAGTGGGATCTGATGCCCTCTTCTGGCATAAAGTCATATATACAGATAGAGCACTCATGTTAAACAAACAAACAAAAATCTTTAAAAAAAACAAAAAAAGAGCCACTAGTTGAGCTGGACAGTGGTGGTGTATGCCTTTAATCCCAGCACTCCAAAGGCAAGGCAGGTAGATCTCTGAGTGTGAGGCCAGCCTGGTCTACAGAGTGAGTTCTAGGACAACCAGGACTGTTACACAGAGAAAATTTGTCTCAAAACAAACAAACAAACCCAGCAGTTGTAGTCAGGTGTCATGACATGTGCCCATTGTCTCAGTATTCAAAAGGCTGAGAGGCAAGAGGATTGCTTGAACCAAAGACTTCAAAAGCAGCCTAAGGCAGCATAGAAAAAAAATAATGAAAATTCGGTGAGAAAAGCTTTGAATTCATATTTGTAAGTGGCGTATAAAGCAGCATGTTAACAATCTTAAGGGTGTGGCTATAATAATCTTTAGGGATTCAGAGGTAGGGATAGGAAAATCAGGAGTTCAGAGTCAGCTTTGGCTAAATAATAAGTTCAAGGTCAGCCTGAGCTACCTGAGACCCTGTCTCAAAAAAGAAAAAAGTATGACTGAAATAAAACTTTGAATAATTTATTTAAGAATGGCAGTATTCGTGCTTTTTGTAGTATGGTCACTTAATTATTTCTCTATTCTCTTTTTAACAGGTAAAACAAAGAATAATAAAAATATATCACAAAGTGTTTGTAGTCAACATATGGAAACTAATCCTAATATAGTCTTAACTGAAGAAACTAATCTAGCAATTAAAAGTTCTTTTGAAACAGAAGAATCTGGTAAGATTTTTTTTTGTTTGTTAATGATCAACTAAAATGTTAAAATTGTTTCAAAATTCAAAAGCAGTACTAATTTAAATTAGAAGTTATTCAAATGTCTACATAGTTCATTTTTATGCTTATAATTCCCTGTCCAAATCCTTTGATTAAAAGATTAATTTTTCATACTCATTTTTTCATAGGGCAGTAGACACACAATCTAATAATAAATAGATTGGCCAATGGACAAGTCTGTAATGAAACAGTTTCATTAAGGCTCAAATTCTAATGTCTGATCTATTAGAGTTTTTCAGTCATCTGAGTTAAGCTGACAGTCATAATTATTTCAAGGAAATTATACAATATATGCTGATGGTCTTGAATTTGGTTATTTGTAAGTTTGTAGGTTATCCCGCATCCCTGCTGTCTTTATTCAGAGCCTTTCAGTTATGTCTTTCTTGGAGTACCAACATAGCATAGTTAGTCCATACATAGGAAGCACTTTGTGAATTAAAGAAAAACATGAGTAAATCAGTATTAAAATTTTAAAATATAGAATTTTTTAAAGAAATTTTGTCAAGTATAGCACAAATTTATAGAAGTACATAATAAAATTGTATTAGCTTTCTGTTATGAAATCAAATCAAGAACTTGCCTCTCAAGTGAGAAAAGGGTCTTTGCCAGCACAACAAATAGTCCTTTCAGTCCCTGGGTCTCTGTTCTTCAGATAGTCATCATCTTCGCTTTTCATAATTTGGTAAACTTTATGCCTTTTTCAGCACCAGCCACCTCCATACTTGTCTCTCTACAAGCTATGCTTGATCATCATTTTTCTTTACCTGTTTTGATTGATTGGTGATTTTTTTGTGACAGGGTTTCTCTGTGTCGCCCTGGCTACCCTGGAACTTTCTCTGTAGACCAGACTGGCCTTGAACACAGAGATCCACCTGTCTCTGTCGCGTGAGTGCTGGAATTAATGGTGTGTGCCGCCACCACCTGGCTCCTTACCTGTTTTTAAGTGAAATGAGTAATGGCTTCCAGTTTTTTCACATCTTGTCCTCAAAAACTTGTTTTGGAATATCTTTCGTTGAGTTCATTGTTAATAACAAAGCTCAACTTTGCATTTCTTAGGCTGAACTATATTTGTGCATTTGTTTGTGTGTTTGTTCACAACTAAAAGATTGTTTCACTGAAGCTTTAGCATAAGCAAAATAAAATTTGTAATCCTGTCCTCAGAAAGTCTTACAAATTCATTAAGAAACCTCTTTCAGGTTGAAAATTGAGCTTGTGCAAGAGTGTTTATGTAACCTAGTACTCAATTTAATCTTTAGCACTGTTTTTTTTTAAAATATCATTTGTCCTGTATTTGTGTGGCCTAATATAATTTCCCCTAATCTCTCCCTCAATATAGAATTAAGTGGGCTCTATACACTATATGTTTTTACCAGTTAGATAATTACAGCCATTTTTCTGGATTTTCCCCTATTTCTTTCCATATTTGTTCAAATTGTCTCAATTATTACGTCTGTAAAATTCACTGTATTGATGCTACATTGTTTCCTCTTAAAAAGATTTTTTTTTAATTTCTTTTTGGCCTTTTTCCTATATTGTATTACAATTTTCTATTCTGTGTTTTTTCCTAGGTATTTTAATCTCTATAAGATCATTGAGTCAATTGTTCATATTTGCATTCTAGAAAAATGTGTATGGTTGTCCTCAGTAAATATGTTAAATGTTAAAATGTACACAGAAATCGTGTTAATTGAGCAAAATGATCTTGGTCTCATTTTACCATTAAAAATAAATCAGGCAAATAGAGTCAGTAGACATGGCAAAATTTGAAAATCCCATCATTCAGGAGGCTTGAAGTGAGAGAATCACTGCAAGTTCAGGGCCAGTGTGGGCTACTTACATACTGGGACCTGTCTAAAAAACACCGAGAAGAAGAAAAAAGTCTAGATAGGGAAGCAACTATTTCCATTATTGTTTAGAGCCAGATTAGGGTATTTTGTCTTCTGGTGAGTACTGGATGTTCTTAAGCCTGTGTACATTTTCCTTCTTTGGCGTCTGTTTTCCTAGAAACTTGGAAACAATCTGACATTTGTTAATTGTGCATCAGTCTTAAACTTAACTGTTAAGCCAAAGATTAGTGTTTTCTTGGCAAAGTAGGTTGTACAGGAAAAATGGCTGCTTTCAGAAGCTAAACATACTCAACGTAACTTTCCATCACACTGGTGTTTTACAGATGGGCAATCTGGTCAGCCTCCCTTTTGTACATCCTTTCAAAATGAAGATGTATTATTAAGTGATTTGAAGAATGGTAATAGCCACGATGTTCTTCAACAAGAATCCCAGGAAAATTTCTCCCAAATAAACACTAACATTCAAAAAAAGGTCTTTAAAACAGCTGTACCTGCTGAACAGAAGTGTGCCCTTGATATTACCTTTGAGTCTGTGTCTAATTTGAGTGACTTTAACCAAAGAGGAGGCTCTACTGAATGTAATGACCATTGTTCTGAGTTATACACCAGTCAGATGCCCACTGACACTGAAAGGGCTGTGGAGGTTGAAAAGGATTCTTTGTCTACAAGTGTGCTGAATGAACCTCAGATACAGCCTGATCAGCCTGATATGCCAGTGACGTCATTTGTGTCCCTTGGTAGTGAAGCCAATGATGAAAACTTAATTCTCTCTGGGAAAAATACCCAGCTTTTGTCCCAGGATACTCCATTAACTGGAAAGCCATCTAAAAGTCAATTTTGTGAAAATTCTAACAATATAATAAAAGTTAAAGCTAATTCCCATGGTTCCGAGTCACTAGAGTCTTGTCAAACTCAAAGCAGTAAAATTGAAACTAATGGTGTATCATCAGTTGCAGCACAGCCACTACCAGATTGCCAAGATAATTCTCCATTGCAAAGTAAAGCATCACCTGGGACTGTCGAAAGTTCAGGTTTAAATGTATCTGAACAAATAGAAATTCATCTTGAAGAATCAGTCCCTTCAGATAAACAGCTATCTAATGGTTCAGCATCTGTTGACTTGAATCATATGGAAAACAAGCCTGAGACCCTTAAGTCTAAGAACTCTCAAGAGCCTTCCTCTTCTGTGAAAGATGGAGATACAATTTTTCTCTCTTTGGGTGAACACAACAGCTGTGAAGAAGTTGCACTGGTTCCCCGAGAGGATAATCCTGTGAAAAATAATCATTCGCTTCCTTCAGAATCTGGTGGTTCAGTGGGAGGGTCTCCTGAGACCCAAAGTACTGATGGTAAGCCTAGCAAAGACTCAGTGGAGGTGGATGCGTCAAGTATTGTGTCTCTCAAAATTATCATTAGTGATGATCCATTTGTTTCCTCAGATGCAGAGCTTAACAGCGCTGTATCTAGTATCAGTGGAGAAAACTTGCCAACGATAATTCTGTCTTCTAAATCTCCTGCCAAAAATGCAGAATTTGTTACATGCCTGTCTTCAGAAGAAACTACAAGTGCTGTTGTATCTGTGGAAGTAGGGGATTCTGGCTCATTGGAGCAGAACCTTGTAGTGCTGAAACCTGAGGAACCTGTGGTAAGCAATCCTCAGAGTGAAGATGGCATTACTTTTTCAACCAGTGTTGCACCATGTGTTCCTAAGGACGGAGGATACATACAGTTGATGCCTGCCACAAGCACAGCCTTTGGCAATTCAAGTAACATTTTGATAGCTACCTGTATGACTGATCCAACAGCCTTGGGACCAACTGTCAGTCAATCTAATGTAGTGGTATTGCCTGGGAATTCTGCACCTATGACTGCACAGCCTCCTCCACAGCAGTTACAGACACCACCAAAGTCTAACAGTGTATTTGCTGTCAACCAAGCTGTGTCACCAAACTTTTCACAAGGTAACTCTAAGAGCATATTGGAGGTGAGCTGGGGATATAGTGGTGGAAAAGCACTTGTATAGCATGTGCAAGACTGTGGACTGTATCTCCAACACTGAATGAAAAGTGATACGTGTATGTGTGTGTAATTTATATGTGTGTGCACGCATTTTGGAGCTTCTCTGGATTGCGATCTTAATTTTCTTGTGTGAAGTCACTGACTAGGAGATAATATAGATAATTCACATGACAAAATACCATACAAATAATTGCTTATGCCTTTCTTCCTACCTAATTCAGCCAGGTTTTGTTTAAATCTGGTAGGCTATAGCTTTAATTTTTTTCTGTCATAGTTTTTTGTCTACAGCACTAAGCTGTGAAAAAGAAAAGAACATAATTCATTTCATAGCTGTAAAAATATTTTAACTCAATGTAGCAGGATATTTCTTTATTCTTATTATAGTCATAGTTTTTGTTTTTTTTTCCTGGGGGGTAGGGGAGTTTTGAGACAGGGTTTCTTGGTATAGCCCTGGCTGTTTTGCAACTCATTCTATAGACCCACTTGACTCTGCCTCCCAAGTGCTGGGATTACAGGCGTGAGCTGCCACCACCTGACCCTATAGTAAGTTTTTAAGGAAATTGTCTTTTAGAGAGACTTTCAAGAAAACCTGAATTCTACTAAAACTCTTTGTCATTTCTCACATTCTGTTGCTATTTAGAAATGATTCTTTAGAGGCTCCACGGGGGCTCTTATCTTCATTGTATGCTGGTTTACATACAGTTAGTAATTGACAAGCTTATATCTATTGGTTTATGTTTTTTAGAGATAAGAATTTACACATGTTCTCCTATATCCCCATGTGTACTGATTTATAGATTATTTAATTATTATTAACTATTAAATTTGGTGAATAATTTAAGAACTATTTCAAATGAGGTAAAGAAGAGGCCAGAACTGTTGCATAATATGAAGCTTAGACAAATGAGGTAAGATTTGAAGCCAAGGGGAGTAGAATAAATATTCGTGGATGTTTGGGAAACTGGCAGGTTTGTGTGAAAATAAAATCAATCTGACAGGGATAGTTAGTGTCTTAGGAAAAGGTACATTCACACCAGGACTAAATAACTAAGCTTTTCTTGTGGCTGACTCCTAAGGACCATGTACGCGCTATAATTTTCCCTTGGTAGTTTAATCTGGTCACAAAAGTATATCGTTTTTGGTCAATACCATTAAGATAAAAAAATAGTTAAAGGCTGTAAATTCTCACTTGGAATCCAAGTTTTCTGATACAAAGTTCAAACATGAGACATTGACTACTCAGTGTCTAATTAGTTTCAGTCTTCTTCGTTAGAAGAATCAGTATGTAATGGATCTTCTAGCCATAGCCTAGTCTCGAACTTAGGATAATATATCTTAGGATAATATATCTTAGGATAATATATCTTAGGATAATATATACCTTAATATTTAGACTTGCTTTTTCTTAATTTCTCAACTTTATTACTGTACTTAATCAAAAATTTATAAACAAGATTGTCTTAATTAGGGTTACTCTTGTTGTGATGTAAACACCATTATCATTAACAGCTTTGGTAGGGAAGGGTTATTTCAGTCATTATGCCATAGGAAAAGTTAATCATTGAAAGAGGTGAGGGCAGGAGCTCAGGAATAGATGCAGAGCAGTCCTGAGGGCATAGAGGGCTGCTGCTTACTGGTTCCTCCCACTCTTGCTTATGACTTGCTCAGTCCGCTTTTGTTTGTTTATTTATTATGTATACAATATTCTGTCTGTGTGTATGTCTGAAGGCCAGAAGAGTGCACCAGACCTCATTACAGATGGTTGTGAGCCACCATGTGGTTGCTGGGAATTGAACTCAGGACCTTTGGAAGAGCAGGCAGTGCTCTTAACCTCTGAGCCATCTCTCCAGCCCCTCCGCTTTTTTTTTTTTTTTTTTTTTTTATAAAACCCGGATCGATAGCTTGGCAATGGCACCACCCACGATAAGTTGGGCCCTCCTGTGTCAGTTACTAAGAAAATGCCCTACAGGCTTGCCTACAACCCAGTCTTAGAAAGGCAGTTTCTCAGTTGAGGTTCCCTCCTTTCAGATAACTCTAGCTTGTATCAAGTTGACATAAAACTAGCCAGCACAGTCGATGCCTTGTCATCTTGACACACAAACACATTACTGTTAAGCCACAACTTTTCTTTTTCTTCTCAAAGATCACACATAAGTATCAACATTGCAGTATAAACATTCCAAATTTTAAATTATAAAGTCCCACGATCTTTAAAAATTCATTCTCTTGTGGTTGGAGAAATGTCTCAGTGGTTAAGAGCACTAGCTGTTCTTCCAAAGGACCCAGGTGTAATTCCCAGCACCCACATGGCAGCTCACAACTGTCTGTAACTCCAGGGGTTTGGCACCCTTAAACAAGCATACGTGCAGGCAAAGGATAACATTTTTTTAAAAAAATCTTTTTAAAAAATCTGTCTTCGAAAGAGGCAATCTCTTAAAATTCAGAGTCTTTCAACTGTGCTCTTATCAAACCAAAAATAGTTACTTACGGAGGGAAGAACAAGGGCACAGTCACAGTCTGGACAAAGCAAAACCAAACTCAACAATATAAATCATTCACTGTCTGATGTGTGAGATTCACTCATCTTCTGGGCTCCTCCAGAGTAACACAAAGAACTTGGGTCACTTCTCAGACTCTGCCCTCTGTAGCACACACAGCTCGTTGTCTAGGCTATGGATGGCTCCACTCCACCACCTGCTACTATTCTTGGTGGTCATCCCATAGTGCTGGGGTCCCTGCCTACAACTGAGTTGCACTTTCAACGACAGCCCCTCCTGGGCTCTTTTCAGGGACTTCAGCCCTGCCATACAGTGCCAAGCCTCAGCTGCTCTCCATGACCCCTTGATGCCTTCAAAATCAGTACTGCCAGGGTGACTCTTACTTACACTACCAAGATTGGCTACCAGTATGAAGTACAACCTTGGCTGCTTCTGGAACACAGCTTCTGTGTGCTTAACCCAAGGAAGTACTTCCCAGAAGACTTCACCTCAGTGATGCTAGTCTCTTAGTCACAACTGGTTCTTCAGCACCAACTATCCCAGCAGAGCAAAGGTTTTACTTGAGTACTTCTGGGCTCTTGCTAATCACAGCCAATTCTTCAGCTCCAGGTGACCAGACACTACAGATTCTTCACATACAAGGCCCAATACAGTGTTTGCTTCCCTCTGAAACTTAACAAGTCAGGCCTTCATCATCTGCACTGTTCTTAACATTCTTATCTTCCAAGCTCCTAAAGAACAGGTCACTGAACTCTTACTATCTAGCCCAAAGTTCCAAAGTCCTTCCACGGTCCTCCCCAGAACGTGGTTAGGTCTGACGGTAATGCTCCACTCGTAGTACCAACTTCTGTTTTAGTTAGTGTTAGTGCTGTGATGAAACACCATGACCAAAAGAAACTTGGGGAGGAAAGGATTTATTTCACAGTTCTGTATAGCAGTTCATCAGTGAGGGCAGGAACCTGGAGGCTGGAGCTGGTGCAGAGATTGTCAGGAAAGAAGATTTGGTGATAGAATTTGCTTCAAAATACTAATGTCTTTGTCATTTATTGTTGTCAGAAGACTTATGGAAGTAAACCTGATTTTAATGAAAATTGCTTTTTAGGCTCTGCTATCATAATTGCTTCTCCAGTACAGCCTGTGCTTCAAGGAATGGTGGGAATGATACCTGTGTCTGTGGTTGGACAGAGTGGAAATACATTCTCTACTCCTCCTCAGCAGGTATGTTTGTGAACTAAGATAGTGTGGGGAAGCATTCCAACAACTGCTTAGTTAATTGTTGCTGTGTGTTTCCTTCTAGGTCCTTCATATGCCTTTAGCAGCACCTGTTTGTAACAGAAGTATTACTCAGTTCCCCGTTCCTCAAAAATCTCAGAAGGCTCAGGGACTCAGAAACAAGCCTATTACAGGTACTTGTTCAAAGAGCTTGAACGTTGTGCTTGTGAAGCAGCAACTGAATGTTTTCTTTCTTTTTTGTTTTTTCAAGTTTGGGTTTCTCTGTGTAGCTCTGGCTGAACTCAGATATCTATCTGCCTGCCTCTGCCTCCCAAGTGCTGAAATTAGATACCCAGAGAATGTTTTCTTGAATACCTTGTACATCCCTTCAAGCAAGCAGTTTTTGATTGGACAGCTTTGATTCTGGTAAATCCCTTTGCTTTGCTGAAGGCTTTAGGTTTTATCCATTGTTTCTCAGTATGGTCTTTGGAGCTGCCTAAAATCATAATTCCCATTTTTTTCAAACAATTTTGAAGTGTTTAACAAAATAAATGTCTTCTCTTGTTCCCTGCTTTTGCAAGTGGTCCTACCATCTCTTTACATGTGTCAAAAAACGGAGTTACTCTTGACACATTTCTCTTAGTTCAAATAGTCATAACTTTCACATCAGTAGTGTTCTACCCTGTTTTGTTTTTAAGATCCTCAATTTTCTTGTTCATCCTATATTTCTTAGTTGATTGACACCCCTGCCCCATACATATTAGAATATGTGACTTCCTACCTAAACAATTTCAGTAACTCCCAGTTGGTCACGGGATAAAACTGAAGCTCCTGGCCTAGGGTGGTGGCAAACTATAACCCGCACATGGGAGACTGAAATAAGAGACTAGACCAGATGGAACAAGTTAATGAGATCCTTCTTGAGAAGGGAAAGAAAGTGAAGGAATTGCTCCCTGAACATTCCCTAAGAATATTCTGGATTTCATTGGAGCGTGTTGTAATGTCTGTCATTTTACTGCCAGTGTTGTTAACTTGGAACTCCCTGTCCCCTCCCTCCTACCTCAGTTGTTTGTTTTTGGTTAGTTTGGCCTAGGAACTTTTCAGTCTTGTTAATCTTTACAGAGAATCAGCTCTTTGTGAGATTCATTCTGTATTTATTTTAGTACCTGTTTCTGCCCTGATCTTTATCATTCCTTACCATCTGCTTTCCGCATTTGAGTTTGTTTGTTTGCTGGAACCTCAGATGCATCATTGTTCCGTGACACTGTTCTTGGAGAGATGTGAACAAACATCTCCTCACCCCAGATGAAGAACCAGGAAACAGACTATAGATCAGAATCTAACTTGGTGAACCAATGAGCTCTTTTGGATTTACTTACAGGAACTTGAGTGAGGGGTTACTAGCAGCAAAAATGACTCAGACTCAAACTGTATCACCAAAGCCCACAAAAGCCTGGGTGACAGCTTACAAAATCTAGAAACCTGGTCACTCTGCACCCCCTAATAGATCTAGAAACCTGGAGTGTACTGTACAATCTATAGGCAACACAGCTGGCTGGAATCCTTTCCAGGTAACTCTGGGGATCTGAATCTCTTCCAGGCAGGTGGGCCTGTCTGCTTTTTTAAAACAGGAATAGGTTTGAGAAAGCAAAAGAACGGGTTTATTTGAACAAGTCAAATCCCTGGTGAGCCTTCCAGCCCCAGATATTGGAGCCCGAGAAGTCATGCAGCCAAACTAAAGCAAGGAGAATATATCCCTGTAGGCTAGGGGTGATGCCAGTTCCTCCACAAGCTGGGTAAAACTGGCTACTTTAGGCAGGGTCTTGGGCTACTGGCAACTTGATGGGAGGAACTGCTGCAGCCCCCATGAACTGGGCTTTTGGGCCTTTTCTTTGTTGGAGATTCTTTGAGAGAGAGGGCTTTGGAGAGAGAAATGGGGTTTTCCCAATCAAGCAGGAGTGAACTAGAGGTTCCAGCTGAACAGGCAGTTTGGCTGATCTACCTCTTCAGGCTTCTCTGCTGGTCTGTGACTGTCTCTTAGCAGTCCTTATTGTTTATGTATGCTATGCCTGGGGAGGGAATGACTTGGTGACTCTGATCAGCTTTAGTGACTTCCTGAAGCTGGTGAGTTGTTTACTTTCTGAGCCTAAGGAGATTCCTTGCAGGATGCATTTTTACTTCCCTTTTAACATCCCCTGTCTTAAGGAGCTTCCCTACAAGATGGAGGGTTTTAATCACAGAAAACAACCATACAATAACCATTAGGTTATTTATTTAGGATGTCTGATTAATGATCATTCAAAAGTATTGTTTAGTTTGCAAGTATCTACTTTCTGAGCTCAACCATTTTAATTAGCATATATTAGTTATAGTAGAATTTCTGGCAGTGCTGTCTTGGTTACTGTGAACTATCTTATGTTTGTCTTGGAGTGTGTTTCTTTTTGATTTTTCAGGACAGGATTTCTCTGTGTTAACCAGGCTGGTCTCAATCTCACAGAGCTACTGCCTCTGCTTCCTACCTGCTGGGATTAAAGGCATGAGCTGCCACCACCTGTCTGTTTTGGGGTATTTTCATTTATCAACTTTTTTTTTTTTACTTTATAAATAATACCAATCAAAATTCCCACTTCCTCCCCACTTCCCACTTCCTTCTCTTCTCCCACACACCCTATCCCCTATCCCCCTCCAGTCCTAAGAGAGAAGTCCAAGGCCCTCCCCGCAACATCCAGTCTTAGGAAGGTGTGCATCCAAAGAGAATAGGATCCCAAAAAGCCATTACATGCAGTAGAGACAAATCCTAGTGCCATTATCATTGGCTTCTCAGTCTGCCCCAATTGTCAACCACATTCAGAGGGTCCAGTTTGATCCCATGCTCCTTCATTCCCAGTCCAGCTGGAGTTGGTGAGCTCCCATTAGCTCAGGCGCGCTGTCTCAGTGGGTGAACCAACCCCTCATGATCATACTTCCTTGCTCATAGTCTCCCTTTGAGAGTTAATTTGCTGGGTATAGCAATTATAGTTGAGAATTATTTACTTGATATATATCCTTTCCTGCTTTTCTGACTTGAAGGGTGTTGTTAAAAGATCTCATGTTGTTTTGATGTTTCTGCCTCTATGTGAGTTGGTGTTACTCCCTTACAGTTTTTACTCTTGTTTCTTTGTTCTGAAATTTTGGCTATTGTATGTTGTAGAAATTGTTCTTTTCTGGACATCATTGGCTTTGGTTTTTGAGTTTTTGTTGTCCTTTATTTTCTTTTTTGAAAGATTTATGTATATGACTTTTTTGTCTGCCTGGTGTCTGTGCATGCCTGGTACCCACAGAGATTAGAAGACAGCACTGTATCCCCTAGAACTGGATGGTTGTGAGATACCATGTGGGTTCTAGAAAATGAACCCCAAGTCTTCTAGAAGAATAATTAGTGCTCCTAACCACTAAGCCACCTCCCCATTTGGAGTTCTTAATACTTCTTGTGTTTAGATCTCTTTCTCAAGACTTGGCAAATTCTTGGCTATAATTTGTTTTTTTCCCCTTTATGTCCACTTTATACTTACCCTTCATCTTCAACATTGATTGTTCTGTTTACTTTTGTGTGTTGCAGTGTTTTCTACTGTGACTTTATTTGATGATTTGTTCTTTCATTTCTACAACTTTTGTGTTATTCTTTTTCATCATCTCGATTTCCTTCATGAATATTTGCTTTATATTTTTACATTTTTCCTTTTACTGATTATTTTAAGTACTGTGGTAACTTATTTTCTTGTCTAGGTCATGGATTGATATACTTGCCTGTGTATTTAAGTCCTTAATATAGTGGTTGATCTGGTTTATTTTTAAATGGGACTCTGAAATCTTTTTAAAATAAACAGATGTTGGGGCTGGGAAGATGGCTCAGAGGCTAAAAGCACTGGGTACTCTTCCAGAGTTCCTGAGTTAATTCCCAACATGGTGGCTCAAAACCATTTATAATGAGATTTGGTATCTTCTGACATGCATACAGAATACTGTATACATAGTAAATAAATAAATCTTTTTTTAAAAGTAAATATTTAAATAGTCAAGTGAAAAAGGACCTGGGAGAGGGGATCAGTAAGAATAAAGTATATGGGTTAGGAGTATGAAAACAATAGAGGAAATTTGTATGTTAAAGTCTAGAGAAAGGAAGGACAAATATAAAACTTTTAAGTTTCACCTGACCTCCTAAAAGTACAGAAGTATAAATACTAAAAATTAATAATAACAAAAAAGAAATGAAAACATTTAGGGCAAAGATTAAAATACAAACTAAAATTGATAGAAGGATTTTTTTTTGTTTTGTTTTTGTTTGTTTGTTTGTTTTTGGTTTTTCGAGACAGGGTTTCTCATGGCTTTGGAGCCTGTCCTGGAACTAGCTCTGTAGACCAGGCTGGTCTCGAACTCACAGAGATCCGCCTGCCTCTGCCTCCCAAGTGCTGGGATTAAAGGCGTGGGCCACCATCGCCCAGCTATAGAAGGATGTTTTCAGTTTGTATTTCTTCCCGGTTGGGGAGAGCCTTCTGGTTACTTTAGTTTAGTCTATAAGGGAGCAGGTTTGCCAAACTATCCATACATCATCTTCCTGTTCTTCTTGCCAGGGTGGGGGCTGTTGAGAATTAGATTAAGACCCCTTACTGCACCTCTGTTTTGATCCCCATTTTGCTGTTTCAAGTCTGTTAGTCCCATCAGGATGTTGTGACATGTTCACCATTCTGCTGCTTTTCATGCAGTCTGAGGATCTGCTCATCTGGGTAGTGGCAGGCATGAGGAAATGGTAAGGTCCTTGTGCCCTTTTCTGGTACCTTATATATGGCCTGTTGCTCCACTCTCTTCTCCAGCTCCATTAAATTCAGCCTCCAGTTGGTACTGTCTCTGCCTGGCTCTTGTAGCATCTGGTTTTCAGAGTTGTTTGATATCACTTTCCTGGACCCAACTCAGCATAACAGTGTGGTGTGGCTGGGTATACCAGCTGGCTTCTTTATGGAAAAAAGTCTGTCCAGTCTTATTTCATGTAGCTCTTCCTTTTTTTTCCTCCTCCATTGGTGATTTTATTACTTTGGCTTTCTGCTTTCTTCCATCCAAATTCCAAGTCTCACAAGCACTACTTCTAGTTTATCATAGCTCCTTCTCTCAAGATGCTTTCTTACACTTAAGCTCTCTTGATCTAAGTACAGTTGACTTCTTTTCTCAGTTTCTTTGACATTTGCAGGTTCAGCCAACCACAGGCAGAATTTTGGAGAGTTGTAACTGCATTTGTGCTAAAGAGACTTTTCTCATTGTTTTTCCCTGAGCAATACAGTATTAGCTACTAACATGATATTTCATCTGAGTAACCTAGAGATGATTAAAGAATATGCTTAAGTTCTGTGCAAGTACAGCTCCATTTTTCTGTAAGGAACCAAGCTATGTGTAGGTGTTGTTATCAATGGGATCAGTTCACTCAGACGAACTGGTGTAGTAAGTGCCATTAAAAGCTGTAGTTCTTGAAGGCTGGATTTGTGTTGGCTTGAAATTAAGTCATTTGGTCTGTCTCTAGATTTTCTTTATGAAATGAATGAATATGCTATAGAAAATTTAAGTATTTAAAAAAAATAGTATAGCCAGGTGGTAGTGGTGCATATCTTTAATCCCTGCACTCTCGAAGCAAAGGCAGGCGGATATCAATGAGTTCAAGGTCAGCCTGGTGTACAGAGAGTTCCTGGACAGTCAGGACTGTTAATACGAAAGCACCTGTCTCGAAAAACCAAACAACCAAATAAATCAATGAATATATGAATAAAATTAAAAATAAAGAGAATAATATATCTATGAGAATGTTTTATTTGCAAATTAGCAGTCATTTAAATTTTTTCTCATGTAACATTATCATCTGGCTCATTTTTTTTTTCAGAGGAGTATATATATTCTTTCACAATTATTTTTCTTTTCTAATGAATTAACTTATGATTCCAGGAAAACAAGTAAATAATTTGACAGATTTGTCCAGTCTTTCAGGAGCATGTCATATGCAAAGGTAAGGATAAAATAATTTATACTGTAGATTATTAAAAAGCTCAAATGACAAATTTCATGTTACTAAAAATGAGATGTTATACTTTCATTTCAGTAGAACTGAAGCTTCTGATAAGAATATAGCCCCTGAACTTGGGAAAAAATTAGAAGAGGTCACAATTCCCCTCTCAGCAGAGAGGATAGCTCCTGCCAGCAAGCCATTTGAAAGTCATAGGCGTGTGCTCTGTTTCGATAGCACTGTTTCTTCTGTGACAAATACGCAGGGGCCACAGAATAAGATGACCTCCCAAAACAAAGAAAAGAAGGATACGTCCTTTCCTCCTACTGACTCAGCCATTGCCCCCTCCTCCTTAAAACCACCTTCTAATAGTGCCATTAAAAGAGAGAGAGAGAAAACTGTGCCCAAGATTTTATCTAAATCAGAAGCTGCCTTTAGCCGACACACCACTGTGAAAGAAATTCAGTCTGAAAAGAAAGTTTTCCCCACAGAAGTGGCCCTTGAGTCTTTCCATAAAGCAACAGCTAACAAGGAGAATGAGTTGTGCAGTGATGGGGAAAAACAGAAGAGTCCAGACTCTTCAAAACTGCCTGTTGGGCAACAGAATGGGAGCTTGCGGAATGAAAAAGCTATAGCTTCCCTGCAGGAGTTGACCAAAAAACAAGCCACATCCTCAAACAATAAAAATGCAACTTCTCTAGGTGGAACTGTGAAGGACCTAAAACAAGAGCAAAGTAAATCTACTAATTCTTTAATTGGTGCAGAAATATTGCAGGATGTTCCACTGCACAGCCCAGCAAATAGGATTGCTGATACTGATTTGCCAGTACCCCGGACACCTGGCTCAGGAGCAGGGGAAAAGCATAAAGAAGAACCCGCCGACAGTATGAAGGCGCCCTCTAGTAGGCGCTTTGGTGAAGATGGCAGCATGCCCAGAATAATGGTCCCTCCTGTTACTGCAGACTTGCCTGCCTGCAGCCCAGCCAGTGAAACAGGCAGTGAAAATAGTGTGAGCATGGCTGCTCATACGCTTATGATTCTCTCTAGAGCAGCAATCGCTAGGACGACAGCAACTCCTCTGAAAGATAACACACAGCAATTTAGAACATCTTCAAGGAGCACTACAAAAAAGCGGAAAATTGAAGAATTAGATGAGCGGGAGCGAAACTCCCGTACTTCTACTAAAAATCTTGCAAATTCATCAGTACCAATGAAAAAGAAGAAAATCAAGGCAAGTTTAAAAGTTTTTCATTCCAGTTCCACTTCTGTCCCTTCCTTCAGTGTTCACACTAGATAGAGAGAGAACTTAGTACTGTTTTGCTACAGCTACCTGACCAAATGAACCCTCGGGACCATACACTTAGTAGTGTTTCCCAGTCATGATATCATTCTTAGGAAAAGTGAATGTTTCTATCCTGATATCTATCACCCAGGATTTTCCATGGGAACACATAAAATGTGAAAGCCTGGGAAACTACCATTACATGAATTACCCAGAAAACACTACCTTACTTACTTTGACTTGGAGTTTTCTACTTGTTTCCCCTCTCTTCCATGGTCTTTAAGAAAAATTCATGTCCCCATGTTTTTTCTTACCATGATTGTCTTTAGTAAGGCAGTGCAAAGGTAGTAGCAATGATAAATGCATATATCTAAAATTTTACTGAGTAGACTGAATCGAAAATATGTGAGTACCATAGAGAAAATATAATAGGTGGGGAAAAGGATATCTAGGTTTTGTGCCCTGCAACTCTGAGTTTGACCTCTTGTTTCAACTGCTTGTCATCCCTGTGACTGTCCATGATTCTGTGCCTCATCATTTACCATAAAATCATACATCTTACTCTGTGGTTTTATAGTCTACTATATAGTCTACTACTTCAAAAAGTATCTCTATAGTTAATGGTAGGAACTTGGTGAGTGAGTGGTAATCTTTGTGTGTTAGCAAAGGGGTCAGATGGTAAAGGTACTTGTTCTCAAGACTGATGATTATGGAGTTTGATCCCCAGAAACCAGATGGTAGAAGCAGAAAAGCTCCTCCAAAACAGTCCTCTGACTTGTGTACTCATCTGTGTATATGTGTGTGTACAAATGTGTTGCACACATACAAAATTAATATAATAAAACAATATTTGTTAGTAATACTTTCTAAGGCCTATAGTTTTACAAACATGACCACCTTAACGGAAGCATGTTCTCGTCTGACATTCACATAACATACTCGAGATTTGTTTCCTGCGTTTTGCCTAAACTAATATTTAATTACAATTAAAGTGTATTTTAACATTGTGTTGATAAAACCTGTCTGTCTATCCCTGTAGAAATAAAATTATGACGGAATCAAAAATGATGCAGTTTAATAGTAAAAGAACTCTATATAATGTTTTAGGTGATCTGCTAAGAAAATTATCTAGCCTAGAGTTTATTGTTTTTCCTTCTCTCTTGTTTTTGTCTTCACAGAAAAAGAAGCTACCTAGTTCATTTCCAGCAGGAATGGATGTGGACAAATTCTTGCTGTCGTTGCATTATGATGAGTGAACCCCCTGATGTAGAGAACAGTAGCTGTTTAAAACTAGTGTCCTTCAGACTGTGCGTGTAGGAAATGGGATCGCGACAGACTCTGCAAACATGACCTGCACTTTCATTGTACTGAGATTTCACTTTATATCTTAAGTCATGCTGTTTCTGAAGCAGCATCCTGGTTTGTAAATAGACTTCCTTGCTATATTTTTATTTTAGAAAAAAAGAAAATGTGCAAAAATGTAAGTAAAGCCAATCTGAAACTGTACAGCTTTGACACTGTATATTGTACATGTGTATATCGTGTAGAAATACAGCTTAAGTCAGCCTAGTTCCCACACTCTTGACTTCTATGATGCCTAAGGCTTCTGGAGTAGTTTCTCATCTCCTTTGTAGGAAGATGATGGTTATTCATATAAATTACCTTCAGCCAACATTAATAAGACACTTGAATATACAGCCACTAAGTAAAAAATAATGATGATAACCACCTCAACTGGTTAATAGAATACCTAATCAGAAAGCATCAGCTTGATGATTACCCTCGGAATCAATAATTTATCACTCCTTTCTCATAAATTGCAGTAAAAACTATATTTCTGAAATTCTGTACTTTCTTCCAATCATCTGTTCTCTTTGTTTTAAAGAGATTTTTATAAACCATTTATTAAGTGTTCTGATACTTCAATTATAACAATTATAAAATTTTACAGAACATTAAGTGGTTAGACTATTGAGCCATAAAAAATTTGATTTACCTAGTAGTTGAGATTTCTTTATTGTATATAAACTTTCCCTGAGTACTAGGGATACAAAGAATTGCACTAATTCATAGAATTTTTCACATACTAGTGACCAATGCACATTTAATTTAAATCTTGTATGTAAAAGCTTATGTGGAGGATTGTCTTCTGGTGTCTTTGAAAGTCATGTCCATCATAAGATGTAAAAATACAAATCATAGTTCTATTGTAATTTAGTTGGCCCTAAAGTGGGGTGTGTAAATAACTGTGTCTGTACTTACCTATAGAGCATTGTGTTCCTAGAATGTTGTAAATACTTGTTCTCGAGGGCCTTAGGGGAGAGAGAGGTGCCTTCTCTGTGCTGATGGAGTATGTTATAGAAGTAACAGTCAAGTTGAAAAGCTGGCTTAAACTTTAAAGTAATGACAGAAATTATCATTAATACTTGACCAATTGTGCCTAGATATTGAAGTGTTTTCGTAAGTCCTTTCTGTTTAACTAAATATTAGTATATTAGGATTTTTTTTTCCTACGAGTGTATATTTTATTAAAAAGTCACTTTCTTCAACCATTTTTTGTACTGGGCCTTTAACAAATAAATCCATCCCACTGTAATAACAAAAAAGTTTTCAATATAAAAATTACGTCTTTAATTGCTAGACTTTACTGTACAAATTTATACTGAGAAATTTTTATATGATTGATCTAGCCCTAAGGAACTGAATAATCATACAGTAATATTTACATAACTCAGTTTGGGTCTCTCCTACAGTTAAGTTTGAATAAATGTATTTTCATTAACTTTACAAGTTTGAATTTATATTGACAGTCCTATTTAGAAACTGTTGGTTCAATTTCTTTGCAGGTTAGTTAATTCTCACTGTTTTTTAGGAATTCACATAATGCAGAAAATTACAGATTTTCTTGTTTAATTGAACTCTATGTGCTACATTGTGAAAATTCGTATATAAGTTAACTCGTGATTTTTATTTAATAGTTGTGTTTTTTAGTCAGTCATGTAGCTCAGCTCACTTTGGATTCATTATATAGTCAAGTGACTTTTAATTCCTGATACTCCTCTCTACCTCCTAAATGCCTAGTATTGTAGGCATGTACCACACACAACTTCTTCAGGATTCTCTTCCTTGTTCTTTGGTGGGTTTGTTGTTGTTTGCTTGTTTTATTTTTTTGAGACAGGGTCTCTATGTAGTCCTGGCTGACATCAAACTCAGAAATCTTCTGCCTCTGCCTCCCAAGTTCTGGGATTAAAGGTGTGTGTTACCATGCCTGGCCTTCAGGATTTTTAGTGAACTATCCTGAAGCACTAGATAGTGAGTCCAAAGACAGTCTGCACATACCACAACAAGAGAACAGTGTCAGGATGTTTTAATTCTCTATGCCATTCTCCCTTAGGACAAGGTCTCTCTAGGCCTGGAGCTTGATGATTTTAACCTGTGCTGACTGGTCAGCAAGTCCCAGAAATTCTCCTGTCTTCCTCTTTGTGGGACCCTCACCCCTTATTCTCAAAGGGGCGAGAAGAAATTTCCTAGCAGAATGTTTTCTCAGGAAGAATGTGGCCTTCCCCTCTCCCACCTGGTAGCATAAGGTCACTTAGCTCAGCTCAGCCAGCCAACCACCTGGTGATAAAGACGCAGAATGGGAGAAAGCAAAAGGCCTTGCACCCGTGCCAAAAGCAGCTTCAAAAAGCCTCTTTGTAGTTACACCTTTAAGCGCTTACCCCACAGAGGAGATACAATTCCTCTCTACCTCACTGCAGCGGGGTCAGAGATGGGTTCTAAACATGTTTGTATTATGCTAATTAAACCTTGCTTATTACAGTCTGGGCCTCTCTGGTGGTCTCTCTCTGGGGGTCGCAATCTGGGTACAACACTCCTGTCTTTGTTTCCCACATTCAGCAGCAAGGGTACAGGTACACAAGCCATTTTCATATGTGCTGTTCATATATAGGTGCTGAAGATCTGAATTTCCATGCTCAGCAAGCACTTAGCCACTAAGTCACCTGCTTTGCCTTCATTTCATTGTTGTTAGGTGTTACAAATAGAAAAATCACTGAGCCAATTTGTAAAGAAACGTCTGTTTACATATTCATTTATTTCCTTAGACATTTTACTAGTTTTCTGCCAACAAGTAGTTTCTTCTAAACCATATATTTATACCTTGCAAGATGGATATTCAACTAAATCATCACTTATTTCTCTAGGCTTTTATTTAACGTGTTTAAAATAGCAGTAGTTAACTTCTAAATCCATATGTAATTTGTTTGGGTAACTGGCGTGAAAAAATGGCAGAAGAATGCTTTCTCCTGACTCATTTTGCAGTGTGTTAAAATAAGCTGTCCTTTCCCATGTTCATTTGTATTTCATCCTACCGCAATTCACACTCAACAGTTCTAAAGTCCGAAAGCTTCTGACAACTAACTCCTTGTTCTCAAATTTAACTTAGAACCCACTTCATGGTAAAACATTGTCAAAGGGCCTGAGGCCTCTTACACTCTTCTATTTCATTCTATCTGAACAAACCCCAACTATTCTGAATTATTAAACACGGCTTACTCGAAAAGTTGATAGTCAAGGAGTTCAGGCTTGTATGACATTTACCTACATGTGTATGAACTAATAAGACTATGTGCATAGATTATGTTCATTGGTTGCATCATAACTCTGTTATTAAATTTTTTTTCTCAAGTATGCCATTTCTACTTCCTGATTCAGAATCATGTTATTTCAAACTAAAGTTCCATTGAAATCAATTTTCAAAGTACATTAAAGTCATAGCTTAATTGATGCTAAATAGCAAGTGGAGGTAAAATTGGTGGCACAAACTTGTAATCCTAGCACTCAGATGGGGTAGGAGCATTGCCAGGATCAAATGGTAAGCATCATGAGCTAAATATCAATAAAGTGTATATATATACACACACACATAACATTCCTTCCATGTATGCTTGCATGCCAGAAGAGGGCACCAGATCTCATTCTAGATGTCTGTGAGCCGCCATGTGATTGCTGGGAATTGAACTTGGGACCTCTGGAAGAGCAGTCAGTGCTCTTAACCTCTGAGCCATCTCTCCAGCCCCTCAAAAAAGTTTTTTTTGGGGTTTTTTTTTTTTTTTTTTTTTGGTTTTTTTGGTTTTTTTGTCTTGGTTTGGTTTCATTTTGGGTTTTTGAAGCAGGATCTCTCTATGTAGATCTGGCTGACCTGTAGCTAACTGTAGACCTGACTGGCCTGAAGTCCAAGAGATGTGCCACCATGTCTGGCACGCACTGAAGTTTTATATATCCTTTCTTCTGTAACTCCACCTCTATTTATGTAGTGCTGGAATAGAATTAGGGCTTTGGGAATGCCAGGCAAACACAACCGAGCTACATTCCAGGCCCTGTTTTCTCTTCTTGATGGACTGTTCCTTTCATTAATATATAGTGGCATTCTTTGGTATCTTATATGAGAAGCTACATCTGCTTGCTCTTAGCTTCTATTGAAGAACATATTGTTTACCATTCTGCCAGTGTTAGTCTATGAGTCTGTCAGTATTTCTCTTGTAGACAACACTTTGATCATGTTTTTAATTGAGATACTCTTATTTTTAAGTTGAAGCCATTGAAAGTTTGGGCTGAGAATTTGCCCATTATAATAGTTCTATTGATTTCATTATTTCTTATTCTAACTTTGCTGGTTTACTGAGTTGGATGTGGTCTGTTTTATTCTCTCTGGTTCTCGGTTCCTCTCGTAGAACTTACTCTTTGTCGCGCTCTCATATTTGTGACTGTTTCCTCCTGCTCTGTAGGATTCCTGTAAGGATTGTCAGTGCTGACTTAGTTGACATGAATTGCTATAGTTTATGCTCACTTGGAAGAACACTTGGAAGATTTAACCATCTACTTTTCATTGGTACTCACATAACTTTATTTGAAACCAATTTTGACTGCCCAAAGATTAAAGTTCAAAAACAGAAAATATAAAAAGCCACAGTCTTACATCGGCAACATAGTGTGCAAGTCCTCGCTGGTTGTGTGACACCAAATATGGGTCCTGGAACCAAACATCATCTGCAAGAACAACAGATGCTCTTTGTTTGGTTTTTTTGAGGCAGGGTGGCTATGTAGCCCAGGCTGACTGTCATGAGACTAGCTCTGTAGAACAGGCTGGCCTTGAATTCAGAGATCTGATCTGCCTGCCTCTGCCTCCTGAGTGCTAGGATTAAAGGCTGTGCCACTGGCACCTGGCTAGCAACAGATCTCTTAACCGATGAACCAGGTCTCTAGCACCAACACTGGTATTTCAAATAGTGGTGTCGGACTGTTCAAGTTTACCAAAAATATTAAAGGAGAAATTTTTATTTGTACTTTCAATAGGTTTTGGATATGATGATTATTTTTTAAAAAAATTTTTAATAGAAAATAATAAAAAATGAAAAGCTTATGTTGAATATAAGCTGGCCCAAGAGAGTCAAGTTCACTTCAGCAGGGTTTCTGATCACATGGAACTGTCTCCTAAAACAGGTTGT